AAAAAAAAAAAAAAAAAAAAAAAAAAAATCACATTGGTAGCTCATATGCTTTAAAAGCTACTATGAGAATGAACCAGTGCCTGGCTGAGTCTGCAGAGTGAGTGCAACAATGGCTCTGAAGGCCAAATGATGACCCTCCTTCAAGGGTAATAGAAAGCCCTAAGCATAAAGGAAACACATGGTGTCTGGGAGTTCTGTGGGGCCAAGCTAAGCAGTAAAGTTCCACACAGACAAGTTTGATGGCAGAGGCAAGATGGAGAAGTGTATGGTAGATCTGCCACTTCATGGATTCACACAATGTAGAGGGGGGGGATGACTCAACGCAAAAGCCTCAGCTGTTTCTAAAGCCACTGAGCTGTAGAAGTTGCAATGGTGTGGCCATGTAACCGTACAAGGCCAAGTACTAAACTTTAAGGAAAGCAATTTCCTTTTTCAGGATTCAATGATGTAATGCCTCTTCATTTGACCTTTGGTAAGAGGTTCAGCATTTGTCCTTGAACTGGCCCATCATTTCAAGTGAGCAAAGACATAATAATAGACAGTCTCAGTTATTTCACTCCTGAGTGATCATTAACATCCAGCTGCCATGGAAAAAGGGGTAGACTTCGAGTAGAGTACTACTGTCAAGCCCCGTTTTCCCCCTACTAAGGAGTCAGACCTACAGAAAAGAATCTGTACCTCTTTAAGGGGCATTTAAAGTCTAGCTGGACTCAACTGCTATAGAAATGGAACATGATACTCTGCTTTCTCATCCTGTAGATCACAACGCATCTCTATAATAGCTCCCTGCTTTCCAGTTTTGGCAGTACAGTATTCTTTGCCTCTCTGAATAAAGGAATAAGTGGCATTATAAAAACCCCACCAATGCTTTTTAGAAGCCAGAATTTGGAGCTACCGTGCCAGACTCTGATACTCTTACCCATGCTGAACAGTTCTATCTAGGGGCTGCCAATAACAACAGTTCCCTGCTCCATGTACAATCCTGATGAAGACAATGATGCTATCCGGGTATAGACTCTAAGGCCATGTCCAGACGAGTGCAGATGTGCAATCTGTGGTGCCATAGACCTGCCTGCAGTGCTACACACCACACATGCAGGTGTTCCCTGTGCTGCTACCTTGCAGCACCAGGGGGGGCAGAGTTGACCCTGGGAGATCCTGGGGTCAAAAAGCCCATGCTGAAAAAAAGCAGGGTAGCGCATGTGGCAGCAATGTGTAGCTCCCAAAACCATGGTCTGGCTGCCAGCCAGGTGTCCTGCTGCAGCTGCAGCCCTGGGAGGCCCCCAGGAGCCCAGGTAAGGCTACCGAGGCCAGCAAAGTTGCAAGCCTCCCCTGCCCCATTTGGGGTAACCTGCTGTGTGTCGAAGTGTGCATGGCATGGGCATTCCCTGGGGATGAGTAACAGTGGTACAAGGTGTATCTGCTATTTGTTCCCAGGGAAACATGTCCGTGCTTGTCTGGATGCACCCTAACAGTGCTAGAATAGAGCTGGAAGGATATAATTTTAAAAAGAAGCATTTAGAATGGGTTGTGGCAAGGAATAATTAATTTTCAAATCACAAAAGCAATAGTACTGAATGAAAAGAACACTGAATGTGAAAAGCAGCAAGTTCTGCAAAACTTTTGATGTAGTATCAGTTCTGGATTTGAACTTGATGACTTGGGCCATCTCTAGTATTTATGTATTCTTCCATTTACCTTTAGAAATCAGCCTCTCAGTGACGAGGATACTTCCTAGAGACAAAGGAAGAGCTGGGAAAAAACAGACATGAAAATTATTTGATTCAAAAGAGAAACAACTTCAGCAGAAGGAATGAGGAGTCTCACCCCTGAGTATTTCATACTCTTGGCCCCGTCCCTCCAAGGTGAGTGCTTTAACCAGGACACTACTGAATTAATATGAAGAGGAGGAGTGATAGCACTTCAGCCAGTTTTTAAATGTGAGATTAGTCATGTTCAAAGCAAACTTGATAGACCAGGTCTTCCAAGTAAGACAGGTAGGGGAATACCTACTTTGCAAATCTCGTTTGGGTTTGTGTGTGAGAAGTCTTGACAGCACTGAACTGCTCAATGCCTAGGAGGCTGTGCATCTGTCCAGCAGCAGCAGAAGTTTAAGGAGGCATTTTGTTTAATGCTAATAGTGCCTAAATGTTGGACTTGAGTACCTAAAGAGGCATTTAGGTGCCTATATTTCCCTAGCTAATCTAGCCATTAGGGTTACCACCCAGCAGACCAAGTGCAAATCTGGCTATAACATCTGTTTTTATTCTTGAAACTAAACAGAAACTTTGTTATTTCTTGAATAAGTTGAAAATTGAGGACATGGATGTGAAAACAATGATGAGCACCCTTTAAGTTAGTTTAATAAGAGATGTCAAAGCTAGTGATAAGTCTAATCATAATAATGATTAACAGTTAAGGATCCTGTTTTACCATTTTGATTTACACTGAATACTGCCTTACTGTGCAAATAATCCCATTACCTTTATACTACGGTCCAACTAATACAAGTAAGGATGACAAAATGAAGTCCTAAGACTAATAGTCAAGAAAACACACCTGAGCATTACCTAGCAAAGCACACAGAAGCATTTAAAACACTGCTTAGGTAAAAAAAAAATCAAGTGCAGAATGAATTTGGGTCACTTACCTCTGTACCAAAAACTCTCTCTTTTACACTCTTGGCTGATCCTTGCAATTTCATCTCTATTTCCATGAGCATTTGAGATAGGGCACTGTAATGCACCCTAAAAAGGCAATCAGTTAAAATTATATGGTTGTTCACCTTACAAGAGTACTAAGTATAAACTTAAAGATTAATTATGCATAATTACTAACACATTGGGAGGGATTTTCTTTTCATAAATAACTAAAAAAAACCAAATCAACCCTGCCTCTATTCTGCTGCAAGTACAGCATCAAATATTTAATAGCCCTGGTGCCAATATATGAAGTTCTTTGTAAGGCTTTAGAGTTCAGAAATGTCCCTCCTGGCCCACTTTTTCCTGAAACAGTTCATTTGTTAGTTTAACACAGGTTGTAAATTGTTGTGTTTCTCTTATTATTTTATTCTGATCAACCACACTTTAGCTGTTTTTCAACACTGAATTAGGCATCTAAGTGCAATCTCATTCCAACTATCAACATGTTTTTGTAACCTCCCTTCATCCTAGCCTGAAGACAAATCCCAAAAAGCAGCAAAGAGAAGAAAGGGAATCCATGCAACATGTGCATTACCATTTTCAAGGACTCAAGTAGGTCATCATAGGATCCGATTTAGGGCCAGATCCTATTCCACTGATTGCCCTGGTCCATCTCTGATGAACAATTGAGTCTTCTGCCTCAAATCACTGCCTTCTGTGGCTCAGTCTAAAAGCATATTGCAAACAATGCTTTTTCAGGGCCTCAAGCAGAGTGGAATAAGTTTTGGCCCTCAAGAGAGCTACATACCACTTACTTGCCAAATAGGTGAAATAGTTCTGGCCCAAAGGTCCTTCCACAAAATAAACTCTATCCAATTAATATGCCACTCTCTATAGATTGTGCAGGTATTTCAGGATGATCACAAACTCTCTCTGTCGGCCTCTCCAGGCTTATCTTCCCAATTCTGTGTGACGTACACTCTAAGATCTGCTGGGGTTTTTGGAGTTGGCTCCTCCTCAGTAGGACTGAGCTGGACTACTGAATCCTGTTTGCTGTCTTGGGTATAGCTTTTTTTTTTTTTCCTTGTGAGAAGTGGTGACATTCTCTCAAGCCCATGCATTCATGGCACCAAAATGTTATTCATAGCAGATTGTTTATCCCTCTCTTTACTGATCAGTGACATAATTAACAATGTTGGCATGTATAGTGTCATCACTAGCATTCCCTTTAAGCTGCATGGCTGCACAGGCACACTCATGCTGCGCTGCCAGATGCGCCTGTGTGACCATACACACTGCACAGCTTAGAGGGAATGCTGGTCATCACTGGGGCATGTGAGTTATCTTGCTGAGGCAAATAGAGCAGTTCACACTTCAGAGTTTTCCAGGTTTTCTTTGCAACAAGAACAGCAAATATAAACCTTTTTTTTTTTTAAAGACTAGATTATGTAGCACATGGAAAATTTTGATGGCTGTACAGATATGCCATGCTATCAAGTACTGCCTCAATCTGAACTACGTAATTAGAGTGCTGAAATACATTT